TGGAGAGGAGCTCATATCGCTGCTGTTGAAAGTTCAACCTGCTTTGTTCTTCAGATGCAGCAATATTTCCTGATTATCTTCCAAGGCGGAAGAACTGAAGCGAGGAGACTGGTTTACACACTTTGCCATTTTTAAAGAGATGATATTCATAGTATGCAGCCCTAAAGGTTCATTTAGTGTTTTGGAACCAAAGTGCTTGGAGAATGTACTGAATGCTGAATGTTTTGATCTGTTTGTTCTTACAGGGAATTTACACTGGGCGAGTCCTCACGCTTCAGGAACTGTTAGTACAAGTGGGAAAACTTAATGACGAAGCTGTCCGGGGTCAGTGGGCAAATCTGTCCTGGGAGCTGCTATATGCTACAAACGATGATGAAGAACGATACAGCATCCAGGCACACCCTGTTCTCCTGCGAAACCTGACAGTGCAAGCTGCAGACCCCCCTCTTGGCTACCCCGTGTATTCCTCTGAACTTCTGCATCTGCCTTTGTTCTAGAATGTCAGTAGCACTTTCTTTTTTAATTGTTATTTTGTATTTTCCGTCTGCATGTTGGGAATCCAGTGTTTGTGTAACATTTATACACTGCTCTCACAGTGGCGCTGGGTGGCAGTGCCAAGCCAGTATACATGATTTGCACGGAAGTGGTGCTAGCAAGGACCTTCAGCAGGCAGGGAATTTTGGACGGTTTTCTGGCTGCTGGAACATAAGAGACACCATTGCCTGTGTGGCTGATGAGCCACGAGATGCTGGAACTCTCTTCTCCAGTTTAGAGAAGAGCAGCATAATTCTGATCATTAACTATTTTTGGTGCATTCTGGTGTATTTTTATTTCTTCTTCTCAAGACAGGTGACTTGCACTGACAGTCAGGTTACAGCTCACTGTAGTACTGTCAACCACAGAGTTGGTAACCAAGTTGTACATACAACTATTTATATGAATTTGTTTTTTAATCTTGCCATTTTTTATTGGACTGAGTTCAGTTTTAGCATTTGTTATAATATATGACTTCAGCTGATCTTCCTTGGCTGCAGTAAGTTATCGCTGTGCTTTAACAAGGTGAGTTGTGAAGGACGATTTGTACCAAAGTACTTGTTTTGGGGGCAAAGAGAATTTATATATTAATGTATCGGAATGCACAATGTGTTAACCTGTGTGACCTACTGATGAAGCAAATGTATAATTAGGGGAGGGAAGGAATTTAAGTCCAAATGCATTAACTTTATCTCGTTCTTCCAATATCTCTGTATTTTTTATATATATATGTATATGGGTGGGTGGGTGTATATGTTGCTTGCAGCCTACATCCACAGCACTAACCAGTCTTCCACAAACACTGGGAGAGTTTGATAATGGGGGGCAGGATGGAAATGCAGCTGTCTGTGCCAGAAGTAATTTAATTTTTTTAACCTTACCAGAGGTTAGAACAGCATTTGGCAGTTGGTTTATAACATTACAGGGCTCCTTGAAAACAGGTCTGGGTCATCTCTCCAGTGGCTCATTTATCCTGTTTGTTACTACCAGTCATTAGCACATAAGTGTTTTCTCCATAGATCGGTAGTTAACAGCGTAGTTACTGCTGCATGTGCTGCCCGGGGTGTAGGTCATTGTGTCTTTAACCTGCAGAATCAATTTAAATCAGATCTGCTCCGTAACTGAACTAGTACTGGTTTAGAACACCCAGCATTGTGTTATCTGGAGCATGTTTATGACTTTTACTCCTCACCTTTAAGATGTTTTTGTATCAGATAACATGTGTCACAGGACTGTGTACTCGGCTGTTTGCTGCTCTTTAGATCAGTGACCATAAATGATTTTTTTAAAACATGCAGACAGTGCAGTGAACTTCAGAGGTGGTAAGGAAACCCCTGTCAAACTCCATGGTATAGCACTTTGAGGTACAGGATGAAATCCACACCAAACATTAGTGGAAGCAGGTTTTAGAAGGTGATTGTCTGTCATACAGGAGTGTAAATATCAAAGTGCTAGTAACCTAAAATCACCTTGCTTGGCTGTGAACTGGATCTAGAAATAGAGACTTATGGAAGCTGATCTGGAAGGGCTTTTAGAAAGCCCCCGTTTCAGCTCCCACTCAGAAGGAGCTACTCTTGGCAAATGTTTAGTAAGATTTAGAACTTCCAATACCAGGAGCATCATGAACTTGTCAAGTAGTTCACTCCAGTTCTTTGCTGCTGTTCTTGCAGCAGTTGGTTTTTTCCTAGATCTAATTTCACCTCCCTGCCTCTCTGTAAGCCTCTTACAACTTGTCTTCTGTATGGTCACAGAAAATTTCATTACCTTTTTTTCTTTGCAGCAGCACCAGCAGTCTGTTATTTGAAGATGGCTGTATTTCTGCCCTCATTCTTTCTCTTCTGTAAACTGAATAAACTAACTGAGAAAAAAACGGAGTGCACTGTGATCCTTTCCTCTTGCTTTCCTCTGGTTCTCGCCATCTGCTACCCAGACTACTTGAAAAGCATTGCTGGTAACCGGCCCTTGTGTTCCAGCAGAGATCCCGGTTGGTACCAGATGGAGGAACAGACTTAGCAATGTACAGAATTCCTGTTCGTGCATGGGAATGTGGCGTTGGGCTCCAGCACAGTGTAAGATCCTGGCCCCTGCTGTCCCAGGCAGCGTGTCCAGTTTGCATGTTCCAGTGTGTTTTGCAACAGTATGACCCCGATTGACATTATGATTTTCTGGAACCCTCTTAAGATTCTTTTGGCAGAAACACAAGTTACAGCCTCTTGTTCTGTATCACACATTTGTGCAGCCAAGTGCCCCTGCTAAGCATGTCTTGCTTGTGTGCTCTTGAACTGTTTCCAGTTTGTTCTGGAGCATTTATTTATCAGGAATTGACAAATTCATCTTCAAACCTGGCTTTGTCTCTCATACATGCTGCTCTTTGGATTACCAACGCAGTACTAGTGCTGGACTCGGTGTCTAGGACCAAGCTGACAACAGCCCACCCCACCATTCTCCCGTGCAACCTCCGAGAACTGCTCTCTGTTTTCTAATGAGGTATGTACATCAGCTTTACTTAATTATCAACACCTACTTGCTTTACAGGTTGCAATGTCCATCACACGAAGATAAGGAGAAGACAACTTCATCATGGCTTTGGAGAACCAGTTTTAAAGAGTTTAAAATCCTTACTAGAGGATTTTCACCCCCTTTTTTGAGCCTTTACCAAAAACATTTAAGTCGTGGAGTCTGCCTCTGTCTCATTCATGTACCATAAAGTAACAGGAATCAGTTTAATGGCATGAAGTGTTAGGGAAGTGGCATTTGCAAATCACAAATGTTTTGTCCTTTTTGGAAAGTTTCTGCTTTCGGCATTTTCCTTCACATCAGCTTCCTCTCTGATGGATCATTTTGTTACGCCCTGATCCCTGTCATCTCTGTTCTCAGACTGGTGCTGGCCACAGCATGGTCCATGACAGCAGGTCTGTGCTTACATGTCCAGCAGCAGCTGGCTTCAGCTGAGGCACAAGAAGCAAGCTCCTCTCCAGGCATAAAGGCTGATGCTATTTGGGAAAGGAAAAGTGGAAAGACCTGTGTTTAAACTGCGAGCAATCCTTCTGTAGAGTGCAGTGCTGTCAAATCTTCTGTGGATTAGGAGATGGAGACTTAAGCATCCCATGAACATATCTGCATGTGTGTTGTACTAAAAGTCACTGCATTTTGTCATGTAGACTTGCTGCTGCCTCTTTAACATATTGCACAAACCGCAGCACAGAAGCTGGTGTCAGCAACTGAAGTGAACCTTCCCCTTTTCCAGAAGGGCACGGGACCAGATCCTTGTCACTTCATTAGTCTTTATTTTTGTCCCTAGACAGTTGTTTCCGTCCTTCTCAAATGTCACATTGAAGACATTGCTTTTGACATACTCTTTGCTGTAGTTGGAAAGTGTCAAAAATTTCTAATCGGGTGGTTGTTTTATTATCAATGATAAAAGTAAGAATTTTTCTTACCTGGATAGTGTGTAGCCTGAGGTATGTCCAAAAATTATTGCGGACTCTCTCAGCAGCAAGATCACAAGCTTGTAGGTACAGGTGAGTTACCATTACAGAGGTACTCCTCGCTGACAGGAGAACTGGGTGTCAGTGGGATGGTAAATCTTTTAAAAGCAGAGTCCTCAGTTCCTCCCGGCTGTTGCTTTCCAGGATACTGTTGGGACTGGCTTCTGCCTTGTGTGCAAGGACCTGTTTCTGGGAATTTGGCTTCTATTTATTTCATTCTTAAATCGCCTGCAATGCAATGTCTGCCCTAACTGGGCTCTGACCATAGCCCTGGTGTCTTAGCTTTAAGCAGTCTGCTGTGAAACAGATTGTTCATTTATACTGTGCCCCCTCTCAGCTGGGAACTGTTCTGTGGGAACATCCCCAGCTCCTCTCTCCTGCTGCCCTATAGATAGAAGATGGGCCAGATTCAGAGCAAGGCCAAGCACTGCCTAGGAAGGGCTTATGCTTACGCTTGCACTCGCCCTTTCCCACTGCAGCTCTGTACACTGCCCATCCTTAGCCTTTACAGAGCCACCAGAAGACTGTGGACATTACAGTGGTGCTAAGAGACCTAAAGGTTAAATACATCTAAATGTTGTGCCAGAAGTTAAGAGATTTAGCCCTAACAATGCACTTTGCTCTCTGCAAAGAGGAAACACAGTCTCCCTTTCCCAAAAGGAGCCTTCAGACACAGATTGCACATCCTCACCTATTGTACCACAAGCTTCTACCTGTAGGTTGTTTTTTCTTTCCCCAGTGTCCATTAGAAATGGAGGTGACAGAAACGGGATCCTGGGGGCATAGAATTTTTAGCCTGCACAGCAACTATTTGCCAATGTCATAGCAGCAGAAAAACAAAATAATACTGCCTGGCCTCTTCTGCCTCTGTTCCTACAAGCTTAAAAATTCAGCCTGTGGTAGTTTGATATGAAACAGGTATGTTTAGAAAGATTTTTATTTAGCCAAGTTGTGTATAGAGCTTGATAGATTTGTCAGGTTACATGATGACAAAGATACAACAGATAAAAAAAAAGAGCTGCTGCTTGCAGCCACACAATATGAAAACAGTTTCTCCACCTTAGCACAAGAGCAACAGGGTTTTGTACACGCTTCTCCTTACTTCTTCTTTCTTGAATAAGAGGCATCAGCATCCTGCAGTGGGAGTACATCCAGTCAGTATTTCCCACCCTGCTTGCTTCAGCAGTTCAGTCCCTCACCCACAGTGTTATTTTGCTTGAAATGGCTTGTGACAGTGGGCAGTTACAGCATGGAAGCAGGAAGTCTTAAGCTGAATGTGCCACCCTTATTTTTGCATTTCCTGCTTTTGAAGTACGCGAACATGAGGTTTTGTACCAAGTTCAACTAAACCACAGTAAGAACAAATACCAATTCTGTTCTGAAAGAACAGAGCCCTGCACTGCACATCTGTCTTCGGGGAAGGATGATGTGAGTGAAGAGCCCCAACAGGCAGGGGTATCACTTAACATACTCCTGGGAGGTGCTCAGATTACATGCCTGATATAAAAGTTATCTACAACCAGGGAGCTGTTTTCAATGGTCTTAATTTCAAGTTGCATTCAGTAATTTATGCTAGTGCCTTATAGCTCAGCTCTGCATTAACGGTGAGCTCTGAACGTGCAGCCCATGTGAGGAAGAGCAGAGCAAGACGTTCTGACTTGGCTGTGTGCTGCCCATGCTGCAGTAACTCTAGACTAGCAAGCACGTAGCAATGGAGTGCATCAGCTGCTGGGGAAGCGAGGAGTGAAATGAGAAACTGATCCAAAATGCAATCCCAACATTCCCATGGCTAAAGAGTCTGTAAGCAGAGTAGAAAAGGCAAATAGCAAAGAGAGGAGAGAGGAATAAACCTACCATTCCACTCTTAAAGTTCTGTATCCTCCTCTTGCCCATCCTGTTCATCAGCCACCATGCCCATGTGGGCGCGTACTGCCAGAGGTAGCAAACGGCCAGGTAGGGGTGGTCGCTGATCCAAGCCTCCTTCAGGTCATTGGCTGTGCTCACCAGGGTGAGCCGGACGCAGCGGTCGGTTGGCATCTTGTGGGACTGATCACCGCTGTTCTCTATGGACTGGAGGGGAGAGAGCAAGAAGCGATTAGGCCTGTATCCCTGTGAGCGACACAGGGAGAGGAAGGGCCGAGCCCTGTGCCACAGATACACTCCTCCCAGTTTCTTCAGTTGGCACAAGTAGAATAATCCAGCCAGTACAGCAGAGACTGGCACTGGGGAATCCAGCCCTCACTACCCTCTAGTTTTCATTATATGCTGCAAGTTGTTCAGTAAACAAGTTAGCAGATGAGACCATGTTGCCCATTATCTTAAATACTCCTGGCCAGCTCTGCCGTGCAGGCAGCCACCTCAGAAAAAAAGCAAAGCAACAGGCTTATTCAGTGACAGGGGTGTCTTACTTGAAGTCCTGTGTATGTGTATCACTTAGTGGACTTAAGCCACAACCACATGAATTCATGTACACGTCACTCCAGTAATAACAGACTCCTCTACCAATCTGTTCTTCTATTTTCCAGAGCAAAATCAATTCTGGTCTAGATTTGGTCTTCTTCATAGTGCTTTTGCCATGCTGAAATCTGAGGAATTTGTTTTGCAGGCTTTCCAGATTGCTCAAGAAGTACATCTTGTCTTTCACAGATGTATAAAGTTTTGCAAGCCAAAAAAATCCTTTCAGAACTCAATTTACAATGGGAGATTTCCCCCACCCCTGCCCCCCCTCACTGGTGGGTTATCCCGAGCTTTAAGTTGATTGCATTTATGACATTACATTTTGATGTATTATAGTAGCCATTTTGCCGGCTGTTTTGTTAGGCAAAATATTAAATTGCTTATTAAAAGCAACTGTGCAGTTAGAAGGTTTTCCTTTTTCTCCTTGAACAATAACTAACAGGAAAGGAATGCACGCCTTGCCCCAGCTGACTGCAGTGGCTTTGCCAAGAGCAGCGTCAACCAAGCAGGGCACATCAGGACTAGGGCAAACAAAAAGCCACCTGGGCAGGAAGGGCAGTATTCTGCACACAGAACTATGTCTAGAAAATCCTGGCTTTTCCCCCAGAACAGCAGCAGGGTGGCTGTATGGCAATTTTTACCATACTGGGATTGTGTATTTTGAAAGAGAGAAGGCAGAACAGTTTTCAAACTTTATTTTCATTTGATATGGACTTGATACCGCAAATACTTCAAGACCATACATAGTTCTGCACCAACCAAAGGATTTCTTGGTAAGAAGGTGAGGTCAGTCTATGCTAGGAGGAGAAAAAGAAAAGAAAACCATGGAAGGATCACAGATCCTGAAGCAGAAGTCAGGTTTATCTCAACAGAATTAGGTCCTTACCTTTGCAAGATTCTCCGTAAAGACATTTTGTATAATCTTGGACTGTACAGGCCCTGGGCATATGTTGATAATACTGATATCGGGGTAGTCAGTCAGCTCAGTCCGAAGAGAATTAAAAAAGCCCTGGGAGAAAAGACTAGGATGTAATCCAGCTTTGCCATGTTTCCACGATGTATTTACATAACAACTCTATGCTGTAAAGGTAAGGGTATTCCCTTAAAAGCAATTCCTAACACTTTCTTTGGCTTTTCACATTCAGAGGCTGTTATCTGCAATTATAGACATTGATATGCGTCACTGACCTCTCCAATACACAGTAGTTTCTCTGAACTACAGCCAGATGCTGCTGTCCCTGTACCGAGGCCGACACCAACAGTCTTGGTAGTGGAAGTGCCACCAATCGCAAGAACTGCAATATTGTGGAAATTACCTTTTGCTTTTTGTGGTGAGATTAAAGATGTTCAACTGTTTCTATTGAGGAAGTGGCACTGCTTCTGTGTAAGAGGAGGAAAACTTCTCAGCATATTAAGTCAAAGATGCATTCTGGTATTTTTAGGGGGTAATTCCACACTGCTGAATTCACTGCAGAGATTGAAATTTGCATTCACATAGATATAAATCTTATTTCAGATCAGGAATATGCAACCAGTGTATCCAAATTAAACTGTAATTACAAAAGCTGCAAGTATTTCTTTCCTTTAAGCTAACAGGATAGAAATTTTCTTAATCTCTGTAGCAGGTCACGTTTAGATAGCAACTACTATAGGGAACGTGACCAGTTCAGGAAGGTGCTTCCTACCAAAGTTGCTGGTCAAGCACCACAGAGCTATGATTCAGTAAATACCACACTGTGTCTTATCTGTGACCTGGGTAATAATGGTTCCCTGTTTATTCTAACACACAACTTTGTGTCATAACAGAACAAGCACAGGCTGATAAACTTCTCCCACTGTGGTAAAAATGTGTAATTTGTAGTCCCATCCAGCTCGGGAAGAGGGCTGGCTGACCCAGAGCCTTTCAGAACTTGCAACACAGAGCTAACATCAGCCAGAAACATTCCTGTGATGACACAGAAGTCATCAGCTGGGGTAATCCACTAAAGCCAGGCCTCAAGTTGCACACTGGTGCACACAATATGATCAAGAACATAGGCTCTAGTTTCCCAGTTGTTGGTGACTAATTCCAGCTGATAAACTGCATAAATGGTCAGCTTCTTTTCAGTGTGTATTTAAAGTTATAAGTACCTGCAGGTTCTGATTCTGGTATCAGATCTTCACAGCATGTTATCAAAGCCTATATACGTGTAACTTACAGAGGACTAAATTCTAACATTAAGACCACTTAGTAGTTTTAGGGATTAAAAACCCAGGCCCTCCCCTAGACTGCTTCCTGCCCTGAAAGAAAGGAGCCTCCTCCAGCCCTGGTGCATGCCTTCAGACGTGACACCAATACACCGGGCTCCATCCCCCACTCCAGGTTAATGCTACCGCCCCAGCCTGCACCCTCCACATTCCATGAGGGGTCCTGGGCACACTTATCTCAGAAAAGCCCCCTGAAGCCCCCAGGTCATGGCACAACTTCTGTGACAGGACTGTGCCAGTCCAGCTGAGGAAAACACAACATGTATAAAGGCACCAGACCCCAAAGGGGAAAGGGAGGCAGCTTGTGTCACGAGCATGGCCACGTGGGCAAGGGGAAGATGTGGTGCTGCTCCTTGTTCAGGAGTGCTTTGTATCCTACTCACCCCCGCAGTGACTGGAAGCCCAGGCTCTCCTAGAAGCACAGCCTAAACAGTGGCCTATGCAGCCGTCCTCCCTCCTTTGGGCAATCATTAGTTAATGAGCAGGACTGAATGAGAGCTCTCTCAGCCCACAATCCCTTGTCACACCCTGTGGATTTGGAGTGATGATAAAAAGAACTGAGTCCCATTTTGCCTGAACGAGACAAACTCAAGACGTACTTCCAGGAGTGGAAAGGGTTCGTGTTCGGCAATGCTGTGATAGAAAGGAAGCCAGAAACATTGCTCGGTCACTTGTGACAAGGCACTGCATTGGCTCAAATGCTGGCAGGCTTCTGGGATCCAAGTTCTACCTAAGAACAGACACCTGCCTGCAGTGCTGAGTAGCCACCAAAAGCACACAGCACTGCAGGCAAACTCAGACACACTCCTGCAGAGGGCACTGGCTGCAGCACACACCACCCGCATCGCTGCCTCTCTCCCGGTATTCCAAAGGGAGCCCTGCTGACCTGAGCTAGTTGCAAGGTACTAAAAGCTGAGCATTGGTCCAGTGAGCTTATGTTATCTCTGGAGATCACCTTCGCAGAAGCTGAGCACACAGGGCTGCTGAGGCTTTTTTCAGGGTGCTGTTTGAATTGCACAGTCAAAGTCACTGCTATTTCATCAAATGGGTGCACAGCCAGTAAACATCCAATGCCTGTAGCTAGAGATCACAGCTAGCTCCTGTTTCTGCTCTGTGGCCATTCTGCTATCCCCCTCCATTTCGAGGGGTTTGTGTGCCGCCTCCTTCCCCTGGGCCTTTCCAGCTTTGTAACCAAATCCCAGGGGATGCTGAAGGCAGCAAGGCTAAGCCAACTTCTACCATGACAGAAACATTCAGAAATGATCCCCTAATGACCAGAAAACAGAGAGTAGTGGCTGCTGCTCAGTGCAGTCCGTGTGCTTACTAGACAAGTTCCTGATTGAGGAATATTTTGAAGGCCACTGTTTCTGATCCACCCCACATGCCTCCAATTACATGAATTATAACTAGATGAATGGCACATGACCTCCATGAGCATCATCACACCAGAGAGAAGCTGCACCAGTCACATGCAGACTCCCGTGGCCTCAACTCATGCTTTTACAGCACTCCCAGAACTGAAATAAAGGGTAATTTCATCAGCAGAACATTGTCATGAAGAATTCCAGTTGGCATGAATCAAAGCATGATTATATCAAGCACACATTTTAATTCTTAACAGCATTCCTTCCTTCCTCCTCCAATTGCCATTTAAAAGAAATTAAAAAAACACCAAAACCCAAAAACCACGACCAAAACCAAATGAAAGGGAAAAAAAAGGGACTTTTTCATAAAAGGCATGATTAAGATTGTGTAAGATTGCAGCATTAACTGTGTCAGCTGTGGTAGACTCCAAAGCATGAATTAAAAAAAACCCCAAAACCATAATAGATGAATTCATGTCAGATAGGCTTGCCTATTTAATAACTGGTGGCAAAAACGCAATCTTCCTTTCAAGATGTTAGAATATAGGTTGATCCATACTGAGAAAACACAACAGGAAAAGCATCACTTTATGCTTTGTCATACCTTTCCCCTGCCCTTTCTCTAGCCATTTCCTCTCAGTCATTGTCAGAGTCAGGCTATGGACTCCTGGAGAGGCCTGCCATTCCAACAGATTTCCCTTCCCTGAACTTACTGGCAAAGTTGGATATTTAAAAAAGCTTTTCTAGTTTTTGGGGGTTTCATGCCCACATCTAGCCGTGACTCCAGACTGATCAGAGACTCTCAGACAGAGCCTTTCCGAAATCTACATTGCAAATCACATGTACTAACACCTGCAATTCTGCACAGCAGAATTGCTGTGAAAGCAAAACAAGAAAGGAAGGTTGAGGTCTGGCCAGGTTATTGAGCAGAGGTAGAAGCTACTAACAAAGAGACCAGCAGTTCAGTTAGCTTATTTCAATTAAGCCAGAAACTATCTCCTTTAAAGCTTTGTCCATGTTTCCACCTTAACACAACATTCAGAGTTGTGAGATTTTTTAAAAGCACCACATGAATTCCTTGTGCTCTGCAACTAATCAGCCATGCTTGGACCAACCCCGCCACACCCAAAAGACAATTCAGCTGGAAGAACACTTAATGAATAAAGGAGCGTAAGGGGAATTCATACTTCTGCTTCTTGCATTCTTCTAATTTAAGTCTACTAGACTTAATCCAAAAGCTGGCCTCTAATGGGCAATTTCACCACTGGCACTAAAATGTAGAGCAGCAGATCTCTCCTCATCACTAACTGAAAAGTGTTTATTAGCAGAGACCTGTCGCTGTCTTTTAGATCTTCATTCTTTCAAGTGTCTGGTGGCTTTGCAGCATCAGCCACTTGTTACATTTTTGCTGTTAGACAAACCATCAAAAGACATTGATCCCGTAGCTTAAGCAAAGTTGGTTACTCTGATTATGTGCTTAAACCCAGCAGGGAGGAAAAAGGTGCTGGTTTTTCAAACCTGAGCACAGCAAAAGTTTATTCTACTGAGATCAAAACATACATTAGCCAAAAGTCAAACAGTGCTGACATGCATCTGAACAAATCTGCTGTTTAAATAAGCAATTCTTCTATGATACAAGCAGTCTTTCTTCCCCCATATACTTTTTTGAGCTCTTCTGTGTTTTTCTAGACAAGTGAGACTCCTGTCAAAAACTCTCTCCAAGCAGTACTGAAAGCTAAGTGTTATGCAGAGGATAACTCCCTAAGACACATTAAGCTGCTGGTTCTTCACATCACAGCAAGATTCAGAACTGTTGTGAAGACTTGTTCAGATGTTCTCCACCAGATCAAGAATTCTCATCTCTGAGTAGTCTGCTTTACCACTCACCATTCTCACTTTACTGTCCCTAAGACTGCCAGTAGTCTTAAAACTCTCACCAGTGACTTTTCTTTCTCTCTATCTGAATTAAGATGAGAACATTAGGGTTTCTATATGCAACAGAATAATCCACCGATTTAGGTATCTTTTCATCTGAAGGCCAGAGACTAAAGTCTTGTGTTTCTCATTGGTATTTAACTATGTAGTGGTTAAGCCCAACTAAGATGACATTTGAATTTTAGTTAGGAAAATAAATCTATACCGGGAGCAGACATATTTCACATTTCAGAGCAAATAAATTCCAAAGGACTTTCAAAACCTGAAGAAGTTACGTAATGCTGTGTGCAATTTCAGGTGACACTTCTATTTTCTCTGTAAAATAAAGTCCTTTGCTATGGCACTAACTGATGCTGGTCTATCACCAGTTATTACTGGTCTATTACACAACAAGATTTAGTTAACCTCAGAAATCTAACTTACCTGCAGAGCATGCTTGCTGGCACAGTACCCAGAGGCAAGGGGAGCTCCCATGATACCCATCACACTGCTCACAGTAACTATCTTTCCTTTTTTCCTTTGGATCATGTGATTCAGGACATGTTTTGTTAAAGAGATTGTACCCAGGTAGTTGAGCTCTATTATGGCACTGTAGACATCCAGGTTTGTATCCACAAACAAGGAGCGCTGGGAACGTCCACCGTTGTTGACCAAAACATCAATCTCAAGAAAGATACAATGATAAATTAATAGAACACATCTCCTTTAATACCTGTGCTTCCTCAGGCATTTGTTAAGTGGCTATTCCCTTCCCTCTAGTGTCATCTCTGCCATACACCAATAAGATGCATCAGCTGCTGAAGAAGTTTCAGCAGTTGCTCCCCTCCACTAGTCGTCATCTTTGAATTGAGGGCTGGCTCATTTTGGACTGAGTCAACAAGCCAGGAATACAGTGTTTGATGCCAAACAAGGTTAACTCCTAGTATAAGAACACTGGCAGCTGAAAACTTGTTTTCCACATAACATTTTTTTTTAACCTTACTGCACTGCAGCAAGTAATGCTTGGGTCCTGCAAGGTAACCTCCAAAAACAAGTTTTGTGCAAAACCAGAAACCAACTGAAGTAAAGAACAGAAGAAATAAATCTGGTACCACTAATTTCACTGTGAAAACAAGTGGTCTAAAGGCTTAGCTTGAAGTTTTCAACATTGTTTTTAATACTGGCTAGATCTGACTGCTACTGCCCTGGGCTAGCAATCAAGAAAATTCTGTATCAAAGGCAGCAAACAACCTTTGATGACCAGTTTTGTTCCACATGGTTCTGAGCCCAAATCACATGCCTTACTGACATTACAGAATAAATGTTCTGACTTCCAGCACACAATTTCAAGCTCTAAATTGCTCCAGTTGGCCCAGAAATACAGTGATATCAAGCAAGTGAATTTTTAGGTCTTGGCAATGACCAGTGATTATTTGTTCATTGCTGCATCTCTCCAAAGCCTGCTGAAACCCAGGAACAAGCAACAGAAGGGATGAAAATTCAGGTACTTTTTGGCAAGTGAATTTACCATATGACAGAATAGAAGGGAAACATGAAGAGAAATGCAAGTATAGGATATAGGGGCAAAAAAGAAGTTTAACCCCAGAAGCACACCTTACCTTGCCAAAATGCTTAAGGACACTGTTGGTGGCAGCTTCATGAGAGCTTCTATCAGTCAAGTCAAGACGCAGAACAAGGATATCTTTTTCATCCAAGCTGCTTATCTCTAAAAACAACCATGAAGTAAATGGGAACAAGTAAGACTGCCAATGTAACAACTGCAGGAAATGTAATGTGCTTTAAAACACTGCATTTTTACTAGAAAGAACCCAAGAAACTGTAATATTAAGTTGGAAATAAAATGCTTGCTTTGTCTTCATTTTGATCTCCATGTAGAATCCATTTTTAATCTGTTCCTACCAAGTCTTTCATTTCTCATCATTACGTTTTTGCTTGTGTAAAGCTTGACTTTGTGTAGCTTTTCACTCAACTCAATTCCCCAAGTAAATTACAATTTTTGGGAGTAACATGCAACTGGAATTTTTCACTGAGCCATTCAGAAGCACGGCGTATTGGCACTTTGTTTGCATGTTAACTGGTCAAGCATGTTTATTTATGAGTAGCTATAAGGCAGAGTCCAGAGAAGTTAGACTGTTGAAGAGTTACTGGAGGAGGTAGAAGGGTCTTGTTTAACTGACAGCTTTTAATATATCCATCTCCTGAAATCAAAGTCAGCTGTCATCAAGCCTTCATGTTGAGCGTTTTTACCACTGTCCCTTTAGAACAACTGACCTTCTCCAGAGAAAATATTTCCTGAGCAATGATTTGTGACCCTGGGGTTTTGGGGCAGATGACTCACAAAAATAAAATCTTCGAGGTTTATCTTTTCAGGGTTTTTTTAACTACATATAACATGATTTTTTTTCTACTTTTTTAATATTAGTTTGATAGTGCTACTTTTGTTTCTAAATTGATTCCTAGCCCCAACTAAGCGTACCTGCTTCCCTTTAACCAGCTGCCCTCTTTAGTGAGCCAAAGGCTCTGACTTTTTGATTACTACTTCTCACATACACAGGTAAGGTTGAACTTTGTCTTTACAGTGATGTACAAATAAGAGGGTTAGTTAAATCTGTAAGTTGCCTCTGTATAAAGGTCATTCATATTTAGGCTACTTGTCAAAATAAACCCATCTGTCTGGTTTAAAGCTACCAGTATTTCCATTTATTGCTCTTTCCAACCACTTCCTGTGCATTTTCCCATCCATTTCTTCCAGAAACACACCAGTAAAATCCATGCAGTTTAACCCCCTCTCTGAGGGACACCACTCTACCTCATGCTCCCTCAAGCAGATTTGCACAGTTGAAACCTACTGAGCTAGGGCATGTTTCTGTCTTGGATTAACAAGACCACATGGTCAACCCAGACAAGAAAGTTACACAGGGAGGGGAGGAAGGAGCAGAGGAAGAGACAGAGACTGCTGATGAGGAATGAAATGCTCTTTTACGTGATATAAGAAATTTCAGGAAATATCAAACCAGAAGCATAGTTCTGGTTTTGGAGCAATCTGCAGTCCAATCTGATTTCCATCCCCAACATACTCAGACTTGTACATCTCTATCAGCTTCCTTAGTTCTTATCTAGGGTGAGGAATCCTTGCTCTAGTCATGCCTCATAGATGGCTTTTACAAAACTTCTGACATTCTTGTTATCCTTTTTCTATACTTCTACCGCCCACTCATCCTGTTGTTTTACTGGCAGATGACCTGAACCGTGCACAGTGTTGAAGGCACATGCATATCCCAGTTTATACATTATCAACATGATGTTCTCCTTTCCTTTTACTAGTAACCCCTAATATTCCACTTCTTTTTCTGCCTGCTACCAAATCAATGTTTTTAAGGGATCAACTACAATAACCCAGAAAAACACTTGCTCCTCAGTGGAAGACCTTAGTTTATAGTTCATCGTTTTACACAAAAGCTAACATACTTCAGCAAACACCCTTTAGTGATGTTTTTCAGCCGCAGCATCAATAGCACACTGCCACCTGAAACTGAGCACTCAAAGCTCAGTCTACCCAGAACAATGGCCACTTTCACTCAGCTGTGAAACAGCTTTATGTTTTCTGGAGGTCCTTTAAAGTCTCCTTACATGCAGTTCTACACTAGATGGCTTCTGGTTGGGATCAAACTGCCCAACCACCAAGCAGCAGGTCTTCTGACTGACATTCTCCTATCAAGCAGTTAGAGGCTGCCTCTTCCCTGCTTATGGTCCATTAAGTTCTAGTTACTTTTTAACTAAAACATGGTTATAATCACCCAAAGCCAACTTGTTTTTCAAAAGATAGCTGCCTAAGTAATGTTGACTTAGAAGAGCATTTTGTTACAACATCAAGTGTACATCTCCTTCCCCTAGGATCCCCTAGAGGTTTCCAGATTAACATTTTTTTTCAATACATGTTAATCCAGGTCAGCAGTTCCTTGTAACATGATAAACAGTAAGTATAGCATAGGGCCTTTATTCTTCAGCTCTTCAGCATTTCCTCTTCTACCTTTTATTTCTGTCTTGTATAATGCCCTTTAACAGATCATGAGCTTTTAGCAGAGACTGAACACCATAACCTCCTGAGGTCCATTCCAACCTCAATTACTATGTATTTTCACAACTTACAGACTGTCTGTCATTCACTTGGCCTATCCATATTCAAATCCTACTTGACCTTTGCCAAACCAAGAAGCATCGCCCCACCTACTTTTTTACTTTTTAGGGCTTTTGACAGAAAACAGCCTCCAACATTACTGATGAAATTCAACTCATGCTTCAGAGAGTGGTTGGGGGAAACAGAGAAGCCGCTTGCAGGAACCATGTAAGCTAAACAAGCTGTTTTCTCTCCCTCCTGCAGAAGTGCAATGAAGTGTTAAGTTGGCATATTCATGACTCAACAGGTATTACCATAGCTTTTATGGTATGTTCTTTCTCTCTCTCTCTCCTTCAGCTTTTAAGCAGTGTAGAATGCATAAACATGTATCACAGGGTGGTGTCTCTAAATCTTGAACAAGATATATGTGCTGGTTTCTAACACTAATATACAAATCACCTAGTTACAATGCTGCTGTGTATAGCATCTACAGCAGGCATGTTAAAGCCCATTAGCTCCAATTACGCTTTATAATTTGGCCAAATTCAAATTGATGTTACATGCTGCAGCTCAATCTTAATCCATCCTGCACTACTCAAACCTTACAGAACACTCTTGAACTCAGTTGCAAAAAGAAGACATGCAGGTGGAAGCAGACACAAGCCACCCAGGAAGCACATGGACCCACTGCCCAAGCATGCAGGGATGGGATCAGGAAGATCAATTCTCAGACAGAGATGAAACTGGTGAGGAATGTGAAAGGCAACAAGGGCTTACAGGTACAGCACCAGCAAAAGGAAGACAGAAGAAAGTGAGCTCATTGCTGAATAGGAATGGTGAGGAAATGACGAAGGGCACAGAAAAACATGAGGTACTCATTGCCTTCTTTGCCTTAGCCATCACTGGCAAGATCTCCTCTCAGGTCTCCTGCACTCCTGAGGTTAGACTCTGGGGGAAAGAAATACTACCAATGTCAGAGGAAGACCAAGTTAGGGACAAACTGCACATACAAGCAGAGCAATACACACATCCAAGATTCACAAAAGCTGACCAAAGTCACTCATCTTTGGAAGGTACTTGGCAAGTCAAGTAGCTCCCCAGTAACTGGAGAAAACCAAGTGTCACACAGCCTAACATCAGCCCTTGGCAAAATTACGTGGCAATTCCTCCTGAAAGCAGTTTCCAAGTACATGAAGGACAATAAGGTGACTGGCAAAAGGGAGCATAGATTTAGCATGGACATATAATGCCTGACCAACTTAATTGCTTTTCGTGATGACTGGCTCTGGGGATAAGGGGAGAGCAGTGGAGGTTCTTTACCTTGACTAAGTAGCTTTCTGTGTTGTCTTCCATAGCATCCTGAAAGCTATACTGGGGAAATATCAGGGTTCTAGGTGAGTGCATTACAATGTCAGTGAAAAACAGGCTGGATCACCAGAGCAAAAAAAAAATAGTAACCAACCACTCAAAGTCTAACTGGTGGCCAGTGGTATTCCTCCATGATCAGTATCTTTTAATGTCTTCATTAATGACCCAGATGATGGAACAAAACACGGGTTTTCAGCAAGCTTTCAGTTAACATCACGTTCAAAGGAGCAGTTGCTGTGCTGGACGGTAGGACTGTCATCTCAGGGGCATCTTAACAAGCTGCAAGAACAGTCTGACAAACCTCATTAAGCTCAGTAAGTCAAATGCAAAATTTCACACCTGGGACAGAGTAATGCTATGCAGTACTGCAGGCCAACGCTCAAATGGCTACCTATCAGCTCTCCAGACAAGATGTCCTGATGGAAGGACAACAGCGAGTTGAATGTAAGTCAGCAATTAGCTCTGGCAACTACAGATGTTAGTGGGCTGCACTAGCGAGAGCAGACAGAGATAATTGATTTTTAAGTGCCTCTACACAGCATTCTAAGACTGCATCTAGATTATTGTGTCCAATTTTGGACCCCAATAGTTCAGGACAAATACTGATAAACTGGAGATAGCGTAGGGGGCCACTAAGATGGCTAGGGGGGGCTAATACACATAATAATCAAAGAAAGGGGTTGAAGCTGGGTTTACATAGTCTTGAGAAGAGAAGGATAAGAGGGGAAGTGTGCCCAATTACCCTTTTTCACTACTTAAAGGCTGGCTATAGAAAATATGGAATAACTACGCCACTGAAGAGTTTCAATATACCTAATCTGACATATACTTAAAGTTCAGTAGCATATACTTGCAAAACACATGGCTACATAAGAGTATAAAGCCAGTATATACCAGAACTAAGACATTTCACAGGGTCACTTAAAAGTCAGCAGAGGCAGAAATCATCTTAGATAAATTGGTTCACATGCATTTAAATACTATTCCTGAGTATTCCTTAGCACATGGCACTCTCACACAAGTGTTTCCTGAAAATGCATAGCCATGATTACGGCTCCTGCCAGCCTTTCTAGTGGGTTTTTGCAATGTCAAAACCAGCCACAGGTGCAAATGTAGTTGTGTACTTCTACTGAGCACTAAACATTGCACCATATAGCACTGGAATTTTGCCCTGACTAACTACCACCCTGTCACCTTAAGTCCCATGCTCCTTTTTGAAG